GGAGCCTGCGAGCGCCCGGCGGCTTCTCTTGGCAGCGGATAAATGTGGTGCAGATGGAGCCCGGCTCGCGCCCGGAGCCCTGCCCGCGCGACTGAGCATGCCCAGAGCTCGGGGCGCCGGCCCGCGCGCAGCCCGCGCGCCCACTCCGGCGCTCCCGGGTTTTGCGGCAGCCCAGGCAGGAGTTGTAGCTATGAGCCCCGCTGGAGGAGTAGGACTGGGCAGGCGGCCGCGAAAGCCGGGAGGGCGGAGGTGTGCGTAGGTGGGGGGGAGCTCCACCCGGACCTGGCAGGTACCGGTGTGCTGCCGCAGGTGCACACGTAGCATCACCCCACCGCAGGCTTGGGGACCGGGCAGTGGGCGGGACAAGGAGACTGGAGGACTTCTAGGGCTGTCTGGGAGTGAGACAGGGGATGATTCTGCTGTGAATAAACACTTTGACCTCTTTCACCACTCTCCTGTTCCAGGTTGCCCAAAGCGTGGTACCATCCCCCAGGTTCCTAGAGTAAGAATGAAGTCTTTGAAGTCAGGTTCACATTACCCGTTCTCCAGAAATGATCGCCTGCCTGCCCCGCATGAGACTCAAGATTATAATTAGAAAAGAATGTAATTCTTCCCATGCATAAGAAAGAAGAGTCCTAAAAACAGATATATAGAGAAATCCAGACACCTAGGAAGACAGTGCTTCAAGGTCAGTCAGTTCTCATCAGCAGTGTGTTTCTGGCCTATTTGTCTCCAGCGCCTGCAGAGGTGAGGATGCCAGGAGCGAGCATGTTTTCTTCTCGATAGGTGGGTTCTGCTCATCTTGCACAGTCAAGTGCACATCATCACAGGTAGTTTCTTGTCTGGTAAACTCCAACACCTCCCTGGCCTTTCCCCGGACCAATACGGAGACGTGGCAGTATTCCTATGGCTTTGTTGAATGCTTCTTTTTCCATACCCCTCTTCTCCCCCAGAGAGTGTCCTTCTCTTTATAATTACACAAAGCTCTATCCCCCCCACCCCCCACGTATTGCAGATGAAATCATCCATAAGCTGTGCTCTTTTTTTAGGAGAAGATCTTCAAAAACCAGATTATACTCCAAAATAACTCTAGGTAACAATTCTGTAGCATACTTTTAACTAAAGATTGTTCAAGTCATAGAACACTAGTTTTGAATGGGACCTTAGAAATCCTCTTAGCTAACTCTCTACCCAATGTTCTTAAATTCCAGCTAAAACTTCTATGACCATTATCAGGTCTTTATTTGAACATTTGCAGTCTTTCTTACAGATTCTATTCCACTATGAAGAACTATAGTAGTTGAAATATTATCCTTCATTTTGAGCTTAAATCCCACTTCTACCTTCTGGCATTATCTAAAATGCTAGTATTCTTTCACAAAACAGCATTTGCACGTTTGAAGATCATTCTCACATCTTCTGCCTGGCACTATTCTCCCACCGCCAATTCTGACCATTTCTGTCCCAGAGCCTGACCCACAAAAGTAAGTGACTTAGATGTGGTTGCATCCTGATAAACCCATCATAAATAAGTTGAAAATGTATCGAATATACTTTACCTACCAAACATCACAGCTTGGCCTCGGCTGCCTTTAATATGCTTAGAACATTTAAACTAGTCTACAGTTGGGCACAATTAGCTGACACAAAGCCTATTTTACAAAATCTTGACTACATTATGTAATTTATTGAATACTGTATTAACAGTGAAAAACAGACTGGGGGCCAGCAGGCATGGATGTTAAGGTGAACCCCCCATGACCAACTGCATGAATCAAGTCCCATACCTGATGGCTTGGAAAGTATGCTAGTGCATATGCATGCATGCCCAAAGTTCCAACAGGATGGAGAAAGGACCATGACATGGTCTTTCTCACTTTCTCACCTGCCCTGTCTGTTTCTCTCTCTACAGTAAGCACATGACTCGATAGCAAAACTAAAATAAATAAATAAGTTATGGGGTACATAAAATATAGTTTATACTGAATGTATAGCATTTTCACATCACCCATAAGTCAAAAAATATAAAGTTGAGCCATCATTAGTCAGGGACTGTCTATAGTGGTTTGGTTTCTAATTCCCTTCAACATTCGGGTCATCTTTTTGAATACACATAAATTTGTCCATGTATTTTTAAAATCGTGGTATCCTGAAAAGAATTCCTCTGTGGCCTGACCAGCACAGGCTATGGTAGTACCCTTGTTCTAGATGTTTCCTTCTAATAACACAGTCTAATACTCTGTTCATTTTTTTAATGTTCTGATAGTGCTAAGGCCCAGTCTATGACCTTCTTGCTAAAACTCTGAAGCTAGCTAGCTTTTAGGAAATGTGAGTTTTTAGGAGCTGGTCTACATGAGCATCCCAGAATGGTTGTTCCAACCTAGCTCAAATAAGATATTGTGTCCCTTTTCTTTTTTTGGAGAGTTTTTTTTTTTTCTTTTGCTATAGGGCGTGTATGCTCACCAGACAGAGAGAGACAGAGAGACAGAAAGCGAGAAATCACCCCCCAGGGGAGATGGCCATGCAGCAATCCCTTCTCCTCCATTCTCCTCTTGGGATCTTGGGCACACACGCACAATTGCCCAGTGTGAGTTTTAAACCACCGGGTCCGGGACTCGAACCACAATCGACTACGTGAGAGTCCAGCAACATAGCCATTACGCTAACTGCTGGTCCCTGTGTTCCTTTTCTTTCTCCACTCAAGGGTGTCTTTAATTTACAAACATTACATCTCTCAGCTTTAAGAATGAGGTCTTAAGTAAAGGGACAGTTCTGATCTTCACACTGGAGAGTGGAACCAAAGGCAAAATGACAAATTTTTAAGACTCACTAGGTTTTACATGAAAAGCAAACCTCTCAGGATATAGCAAAAACCTCTCAAAGAAAAAAACAAAACAAAACAAAAAAACCTGTCAGAGGACCTAGGTTACTGTATTTAGCTTCAGTTTAGTGTCAGAAATATTTAATGGTATCTTCAGATGAATAGTTCCCACTAATGTTACAGGTAAAAGTTAACTTATGTGCTTAACTTACCCAGGTTAAAATATGGGACTCTGTTCTCTCCTTTGGTGTGGACTTTACCCAACATTGAGACTCCGCCCACCTCCAACTGACTGTGCCCTAACAACATTCATGTATGCCTCTGCCTCCCTGGGAGGCTGAATGCGGTTGTCTGCCCTGCCACTCAGTGCCCTGACTATGATCAGGGCCTTCTATACCTCCCTGGGCTATGTCAGCCTAGCAGTCATTTTCAACCTCAAAGCTTCCCTCATAAATTGGTGTTAGTTGTGTCTTCTTTCTGCATTGAAGCTAGGTTGCTAGTTTTTGTTTGTTTTAACTAATTTTGTAATCATCCTTATTAAATGTTATCTGCTTCATTCCCACTTGTCTGGTTTTAATTGTCATATTGTGCATTATTTATTACTTTTAGTTTATGCCATCCGAAATTTGATACACAGGCTTTCTGTCTCCTCTAAGCAGTTGTCGAAAAAATGTTAGCATGTATATATTGGTGAAAAGGATGGTAAAGTCACCAGATCCCATCAACTATAGTTTGCATCCCTCCATGCTTCAGCAACAAAGGATTGTTGGATGTTAAGGAAAATTCATTTATAAGTTCATTGTTTCTACAAATATTTATTGAAAACTCCCAAAGCACAACACCATGCTAAGCTCAGAGCCATGCAGGAAGCACAAAAACATGATTCTTGACCTTGAAGAACTCACATCTCACTAGGAAAACAATACACTCAGAATTGGAACTACAGTGCATATGAGAAGTATTGATAACAAAGTGCTACATGAAGCCATGAGAAAGAGATTGTGACTGATGGGAGTGAAGGAAAGCTGCTTGAAAGTGATTTGTTTAGGCCTCAAGTAATTTTTAAGATGTGAATAATTGAAGGAGAGAATGGGAATTCTTTTTTGGGGGGAGAGGGGTAGAGAAATTTTTGCTATAGGGTGCATGCACTTGCCAGAGAGAGAGAGAGAGAAAACAAGAAATTACACCCCCCCCCCAAGGAGGAAAAAAAAACGCCCCCCCCCCCCCCCCAAGGAGGAATGACCACATCACAATCCCTTCTCCTCCATTCTCCTCCTGAGGCCTTAGGCACGCACACACGTGCCCGGTATGAGTTTGAAGTCACTGGGTCTGGGACTTGAACCTTGAACTGAGGTCAGCCACATGGGAGTCCTGCGATGTAACCACTATGCCATCTGCTGGTTCCTGAGAGAATGGGAATTCTAAGGGAAAGTATGTGCAGAAGTCAGAGGCACGTTCAAGGGACAATAGGTAAATCAGCTCAATTCACATTTGTATTGGTTGAGGTAACTTTAGTTGCTGTAACAAAATAGTCTTAACACATTCAATGGCACAAAGTTGATAGCAGCTTATCTCATGCTCATTTAAAGTCTAACACAGATGTTCCTATGAGTCCTCAACTCTTCTCCCACCAACATCCAGAGATCTAGCCTTCTTCCACTTTGTGGCTCCAACTGTTTTTTGTTTGTTTGTTTGTTTTGTTTTGTTTTTGAGAGGTTTTTCTATAGGGCACTTGCGCTCACCAGACAGACAGAGAGAGACAGAGAGACAGAAAGCAAGAAATCATCCCCCAGGGGGGGATGGCCACGCCGCAATCCCAATGGCCACACCGCAATCCCTTTTCCTCCATCCTCCTCTCAGAATCTTGGGCATAAATGCACAAGTGCCAGGCATGAGTTTAAGCCACCAGGTCTAGGACTTGAACCGTGATTGGCTACATGGGAGTCCAGTGACATAGCCATTACGCCAACTGCTGGTCCTGTGGCTCCAACTCTTAAACATGCGGCATCCAAGGTCATCCTCACCTTCCTCAAGCAGAAAGAAAAAGAACATATAGCGCCATATGTGAAAAGTGTAATAGGTCAGGCC